ACTCCAAGCATCACCCTGACCCTGCGATCCCAACCCAGGTGCCAACAACCCCAGGCATGAAAAGCCACAAGCCAATTTCCCCCAAACCATGAGATTAGTTTACAATTCATGATCAAAACAAACAAACAAAGGTTCTTCCCATTTGCTGGTGATGCTCTGAGCATGCACAGTTCACCCGCGACACTTTTGCCCTGAGAACTGAAATATTTAAATATTGCTAATATTCACATATAGCAACAACCCTCCAGCAGGCAGGGCTGGAGGAAAAGAAGCCAGAAGGCTCGTAATTATAACCTGGAATAGCTGGCACTTCTCAGTTCCTTGCAGATGAATCTCTAGTTCTGGCACCAGCAAGTCAGCCACAAGCAGAAGTATTTACACCAGTGGAAAAAAAAATGCCAAAGGTGTTTTTTCACCACCTCTTCCCTTTAACCTGTCCCATCCAAAGGCCATTCTTGGGCCCAGCCCCAGCAGGGCTCCCCAGATGAGCAAACCACAAGCTTTGCTGCTATAAAAAGACCTAGTTCTCCAATAGCTGTGGTGGTCCAGGCAGCCTGGAGCCCTGGTGGAAGCCTGTAAGAAGCTGCAGTGGTTCCGCAGCACCATGAACACCTTCACTGATAAACTCAGAAGGGATTTTGCTGTCTGATGCTCCCTGGACCTCACCCAGCTGCAAAGCACATCTGGCCTCATACCAGGCTGTGGTACACAAGGATAAAACACTGCTGCATACTTCTGCAGCTATCCCAGCAAGCAGCTGAGCAGCATCTCCACTCACCACAGAAGCACCTCCAAGAGCAAACAGAGCAGGGATGCCCCTGCACCAGGGCATCCACAACAAACAATGGACAGCCCAAAACGCAGCAACAGCACAAGATCTCCAGAGAAGCCATCCATCATAATATCCCCACCCCCTGCTTTTTTCTTCTTTATTTTCCCCAAGTTTAGAATATCTTTTCTCTTGTGGCATCGCATATGGTATCAGATATGGAGAGAATCCCATCAGATTCCTGTTTCTGAAGCTCAGTTCTGCACATAAACCTCAAAGCGGTCCTGGTGCCAGTGCAAGGAAAACAGTGCAAATGAGATGGCCCAGATTCTTCCCATTTCTTGGTGTTCTTTAGGAAGCACCTCCTTGGAGCAGAGGTTAAGTGCTGCAATACCAGCACCCTCCCCAGCTACAGCTAATGAACACGCTGGTTGAGCTGTGAGCCACACAGCCCTTCCTGAGCAATGCAGCACCATGTTTTATACAGACCTTGAGACTTCAATATGCAACTGTTTACACAGGCATCAACCACTTAGTCTGGTCCATTTTACATGTATTTCTCTCCTGCAGGGACAGTCAACAGTCAAATTCCCCCAGCAGCCAAAAGACCCAAGAGGAACTGCATCTGCCATAGATCAAATCTGTGCTGCCTCTAACCCCCCACTCAGCCAGGGCACTGACACCAAAGGGCACGAGGAGGGTTTCCAGCACTGCCACATGCACTGCCAGCCCTTCACTTCATCCTGAAGGACGCCAAAGCAGGAGGCAGGAGTGGGAAGCACTTTGAATATTGTGTTTACTTTGCCATGCCCCCATGGCAGACTTCCTGAGCAGTGAGTACCCCGCTGCCTTCTGCTAGATGTTTTATATTTAACTTGGCAGTGGGCAGTGCCATGGCAATATCCCATCTGCTTCCCCCTTTCCTGGGAGTGATGTCAGCCAGCTCGTACGAGGGCGGCTGCATCCCGGCGCATCCCGGCGTGCGGAGCATCACTGCGCTCAGCTGGGGCTTCCCGCTCCGGCAGGCAATGAAGAGACCATGTACGCACCCTTACGTGAGTTGCTCCACCCAAAACGTTCATGAGCCCCAAGTATCACTCACCCAAAGCCTGCACCCAATATCCCACCCAGGCATTCAGAAGAAAAGCCCTGGCTCACACATTAACCCATCTGTTTGTACAGATGAGGTCCAGGAATGATGCTCTGGGCAACATGTGATGCAAGAGTAGCAAACCAGTAGAAACACCATTAAAATGGGATCCGCAGAGAGACAAGGAGCAGACAGAAGACCCATTTTCTGTAGGAGCTGGATCTCTCAGCTGTTATTAACCACTTCTGTCAGGACTCCAGGGATTTGACCTGGACATACTTCCGTGCCCACGGCTGACCGATCACAGGCACGCTCACTGACACCGACCCTCTGCCTCACGCATCACTGTGAAGCCTATCTGGATAATGGCTCATCACTCCTAAAAACTCAACAGTGGGTTTAAAATTGCTGGAAAGCAGTAGCAAGAGGAGGGCAAAGCCTCAGAGGCAGGACACGTACATACTTTAGCCTTCATGCTTGGGCCATGGGATGGCTACACAGCCCCACTGGGCCAAGCAACACTGCACTGACCCATGAGGGAGCATCCCCGCTGTAAATCCTCATCCTCGGGGCTCTTCTCACTCACCTCTGAATTTCAGAATGTTTAGGACTTGAATTCATCTCAACAATGGCTGAGGCTAGAAAGCTATGGTTTTCCGAAATGAAAGCTGAGATCCTGCTGTCTGATGAGCAATACGGCTGCAAAAGCCTCCGCAAGTATTCCAGGACTCACTGTAGAACCTAAAATTACGTTTTAATTTCTTTTTAGAGATCAATCTTCGACTTTTAGAGAGCTGCTTGTTTCACTGGTGTCAGAGAATTTTCTCTGTAAAGCTGCATGGTGCAGATTAAGTCTCTAAGCCTGCAGGAGGACTCTAATTTTCCATTTTGGGGGACAAAGGTATGCTTTGAAATTGCATTTAAACCTCTTTTTCTTGGGGGACTGGGATATCACTGTTCCAAAGGTGCAGGAACCTTTCTTATTGTTTTAGTAGCATTTCTTAAGTAATCTTAGTTCTGGAAAAATAAAGGTACTTGTTATAAGGACACAGAGTTTAAATATAGCTAAAATGGTGATGGAGAAATACATGACATACTACAAGAACTCCTTACTAGCAAGAACTGCATTAAAAGAAACCCTTAGGGAAATCAGTTTCTCCTTCGGTTGTAATTTTTGAGCTACAACAACAAAAAAGGACAACCCTGGCAGACCCAGCAGCATCCTGACCATGGCATGAACTACTTTAATATTTCAAAAGATGAAAAGCGTGTACGCAGCTCCGGTGCCCATCTGCGGTCACGACAGCAAAATGAAGTTTGGGATTTACAAAGTCCAACATCAGTTCAGTGCAAGTTTAATGGATAACATAAACCAGTATCCAGTTCAGCACTCATTCAAACCGGACCCGTTTTCTACCAGAAGGACACACTGTGCTGATATCCAAGGAGCTCCCTTTAAGATCTGTAGTGACAGGACAAGGGTGATTGTGTTTAAACTTAAACAGGGGAAGTTTAGATTAGATCTAAGGAAGAAGTTCTTTCCAGTGAGGGTGGTGAGGCACTGGAATGGGTTGCCCAAGGAAGCTGTGAATGCTCCATCCCTGTCAGTGTTCAAGGCCAGGCTGGACAGAGCCTTGGGCGACATGGTCTAGCGCGAGGTGTCCCTGCCCTTGGCAGGGGGTTGGAACTGGATGATCTTAAGGTCCTTTCCAACCCAAACCATTCTATGATTCTATGATCATTAGTACAATTGATCCTACTGTAACAGGCTTCCCACTTAGTGCGTGAGGAGCTTCTCTGTCCCGTCAGGAGCTCAGGCCACAGGGAAGCTTCTTTCCTCTTTCAGAAGAAAGACAGGCCACTTTCAGAAAATGGAGATTAGTATTTTAAAATAAAAAATGCTCAATCTGGTATTTTCTTAGAAAATATAAAATTAAACATTTTGATATTGGTCAAATAAAACAGGAAACATTCTGGACATGATAAATCAGTAAAAAACTGAAAACAAACTTTCTGTTATTCTTAATAATTCATGTGCTTGGATGCTCACATTCTGCTACTGTTGGAAGCAGGTACACAGGACAGTGACAAGAGATATAGGATTCCTGTACCTCCATAAGGAGTTGGGATATGTGCAGGGAAGTTTATCTCTGATTGCCAAAGCAGGCAGGTGCTTGAGTGGTCACGACTGGCTGCTATAATGTGGGATCACACGCTCGCAGCACTTCGATCTTGTTGTACAGCACTGATACAGGACCATGAGCTGAGCTCACTGCCATGCCCTCTGGAGACACGCTCCGCAGCTCACAGAACTGAAGTGGTTTGAGCCTGGGGTTTGCACAGCTCTCTTTCCCAAGGGCTGTCTTCCTCACTGCAGCACTGAGTGTCTAAGGGACCTTTGTCAGCCGACTGACAAAAAGAGCAGCTAAGGAGCAGAGAGACAGCCTCTGTCCTGGGCATCTGCTGGCTGGAGAGCCTTCAACAGCACTGTACTGAAGACTTATGAAATAAAAGATGTTAGATAGTTGTCTCGTGCACTTGCTCTCTCTCTCTAAAAATGAGAAAAAAATAGAAGGAAATAGAAGAAAAAAGAAAGCAATCCCAGTATTTGATCTTTTTCCAGCAGCAAGCATGGATTTAATACAAGGCCCCACACAGACCACCACAAGGCAGCACTAGTGTGCTCAGCTTGCCCTGGAAACCTGCAGAAGGAAGGGCACGAAGTAGTGACCTTGAGGAAGCCCTACTGTTTAAGGAGCTTTGAGATACTTCAGCATGAATGCTAAGAAAAATAAAGTAGTATCAGTACATGATATCCCTGCACTGGAGACAGAGCCAGCGGTGAATGGTACGTACGCAACCTCCAAGAAAATGGGATGTTTGTTCTCTTTGGGTTCTTGTAAGTCTCTTTGAGCTGCTGCATTTGAGGAAACTACGTAAACCAACATCTGCCTCGAGGCTGGAGAGGCTCCCCCTCGAGTCCCTGTCAGAGGTACAATTAACACGTTTCTCCTCAGGCTTTTATGAAGCACAGAGCCTGGGTTACACAGGGAATCTCTTGAGCATCCCCTTGGAAAGATGCCTGCCTGTCTGGCTGACAATGTTTTCTGACCCCTCCACCACCTCTGACCCCCTCCACCAGCACCACTGGTGAAAACAGGAGAAAGTCTTTCAGGATTTCTTATTCTCTTCAAGGCAGGCAATAAGCATTTATATGCTCATTGGAGACACTGCAACTGGAGCTGCTAATGGACTCCATAGTTTGGGGCTGTTGAAAGCAAGGCATATGCACCCCAAACAGCTGAGGGCATGTGTTGGTTTTTCAGGAATGAGACACATCAAGAATAGTTTCGTACCATTACTTTACTGATGTAGAGTCTGAATTGCAAAGCTGAGGGCAAAGGCAAAGGCTATAGCTGTCCATATATTACAACTTCAGAGCCAGAGGCATCCACAAAAGCCCTCCCCCAGTAAGAGACAGAAGATGATGCCAAGATCCAACCTGGACAGTGTCTCTTCATGCAGTGCCAAGTGGCACACGGGCAAACAGGACCCACATGAATGCCTCTGGCTCTAATGCATCCCCAACGTCACGTCATTTGGCAACCAGTGCAGGACAAAGCGGGTTGGAAGAGCAGGCACGACTTACTGATGAGAGGTTCTCGTCCCTCCGCCTCCCCTGGCTGTGCCGGCTGATGAAGGATCGCGCAGAGAGCTACGTGATCACCACCACCATCACCATCATCACCACCACGATTATGATTATCTGTACAAACTCCAACTCCGCTGCAAGAGAGACAGACAGACTTTAAGCCACCAGAAAAAGCAGCACGTAATTGAGCACAAAAACTGCTAATGTGGATGAGACACCAGTGACACCGCTGCATCCTTCCCCCATAAAGCTCTCACATGCAGCATGCTTTGAGCCCAGCTACTCGTTTAATAAAACTCACAAATTTACATTTTTAGTGCCACAGAAGAGTCTCTAGGAGGGATCTTTAAAAATAATCTATCAAAGCAGAGCGTTTCCAAGCTACAATGGAGACAGAACTTCCCAAAGCCCTCCCAGCTGCAGTGTGCTGGATACCTCCTCCAGAACAAAACAGCAGCATCTCAGTGCTGAGCACGCCTTGCTCAAGGCCACAGAGCCAAGAACCAGCATAACTCATCCTAATGGAACAGTTTAGCTAAGTGCAAGCCAAATTTCTGCAATTCTCTTCCCAACACCACCACTCCAGTCCAGTCCTCCCTGGAGGATGAAGTCCTTCGTGGGGCACACCCTTGCATCAGGCACATGTCCCCTTTGTCACAGGGGTCAGACAGTGGCATGGGGTGCCCATGGCACAGCACAGCAGGCAGACCCCTCTTCTCCAATGCTGGCCCCTCCACCACAGAGCACAGGCAGGGAGACCTCTTGCTTCTTGGTGAGACACCAGATGGGCACGATGCGGCTGCCCATGGGGGCCACATCCCGTAAGTCCAAGCATCCCTCAGCTCAGGGCTCGGCCAGCTGACAGCAGCAGCTAGAGTGGCTTGAACTGGCATAAAGGAAGGCTGCCAAAAATCCTCCAAACAAACACGAACAAGCAAACAACAGGCTATCCGGTCAACTCCAGAGACACCTGGCAGCAGACAGTAAGAAGCTGCTCCTAAAGCTTCCGAAGGAAATAATTCCTCACACCTCTCTGAGGCTCAGGAAAACTGAAACATAGCACTGGGGTCACTACTTCCACACATCTGGCACCCAGAGAGCAGACAGCAGCCCTGAACTGCTCGGTCATTCCCCATATGCCCCCTTGTGCCAGGCACACACAGGGCTTACTATGCCCAGGACAGGGCAGCAGCAACTCCTGTGCTCACCATAAAGGAGGGACCAGACCAGCAAAATTCAACAGTTCTGAGGATTTACACTTTCTTTGCTTCTCAGCAGGGACATCTATAAAATCCAGTTTTGGAAAGCCGTGCCGTAAGCAATCACAGACGCTGCCATCTGTATTTTATCTATACAGACACATACACGTATAGTAGATATCTGCAGATACAGAAGAAGAGCTGCCATACCTTTAAAGGGCAGCATCACACCACTTGTACTAGCTGGGGTGGCTTCTGCTGAGTCAGGCAAATTGAATTTTACTTCTTTATGGAAAGTTTTTTCCTGACAGGTGGCATTTAAGTGCCAGTAAAAGCAAATAAATGTCAAGAAAACAGTCCAGGTGGTGAGTGCTGCCAGTTACCTTGGAGCTCATTCTGCTAAACAGCAGCTATTTCTGCCCAAAATGCTTAACCAGCTCTGCCCACCACCTTCAAAAAGCAGAATTATGCCTTGAAAGCAGGAGCTTTATCTGTCACTTAAAGTTAGATGTATGAGTGACTTGGAGCCCATATACTTATGGCACCCTTAAAAAGCAGCTGCCTCTACACCAGAAGATTGCACATGGGGTGGGAAGAGAGGGATTAAAAGCCAAACATTGCAAAGGAGTTTTGCCTTAAAAATGCTTTTTAGCTAAAGGCATCTTCTTAAAAGAGGAGCTCTGGGTCTTTCACAGCAATCCCAGCAAGGTGCCTGAATGCCATTGTAAGCAGAACAGCCTGGAAAAAACATACTTTCCCAACAATTCCTGAATCAGCCCCAAAGCAGCAGCAGAGCTCATCCGTGGGAACGACGGGTGATGGGACCTGAGAACTGCCATGGGTGCCCTGTGCTGGAACAGGAGGTTCCAGTCAGGTTAACCAGACACACAAACACACCAAAACTCAAAGGGTTGGGAAAAGAAGATGATGCAAAACCATTAAAAACAAAAAGCAAGCTGCCTCTTCCCATGCCACCCCCCATGTAGAAGCATGTCCCCACACAGCCCAAAGGAATGTCCTAGTTCTGCTGCACCCGTTTTCTTTTTCATTACTGAAAAGAATAAAACAAAAAAACAACCAATGTTTTTAGGAAGATGAGTCAATTTAGCCTCAATATGCAGCATGTGCTTTGGCCACAGTAAAAAAACACAAGAAAAAAAAATATAAATGGGGCCAGTGATGGAAAACTTCCTTTTCTGCTAAAAGAGGTTATATTTCTGAAGAAAAACAAGACCAAGGCAGTTATAAAGGAAAGTTCCTTTCCTAGGACGAAAAGTCCCTTAAATGAACCAAACCTTGCTGTATTGGGCACAGTACTTTGGTGAAACAGGTGAAGTTTGGCCATCAGGAAGCGCTGCCCTAATTCCTTCCTAGGAAGGAACACATGCAAGGCATGTCATTTACAAATGACCTAAGCCAAGCTTCCTTCACACACATACAGACGTGCAACAAGCAGAGTCTGAAGCAGAAGAAAGGGTGGGAATTCCATCAAGATCTGGGACAACACACCAGCATCTCATCCATCCCCATCCAGCTCCAAATGCTGCTTGTTCTGGCTCTGGGACTCCTGTAAATGGAGTATTACAAAGCAGTTGCCAAGAGTAAGGCACAGTATGATTACCAGAACAAAGGGGATGCTGACTTCCAGCAGGGACACTCCTCCTGACCCATCTTTCTCTCCCAAGTTCTCCTTGGAGCTGGTGATCTGGATGGGCTGGACTGCCCCAGGAACCACATGGCAAGGCCCAGAGGTGCAGGCAATGTTTGGCCATGTGTCATGCCTTGCTCTTCAAACTCTACATTTGGTTATTTCAATGGGGAATCTAGTCTAACATTACAGCAATCACACTGGTGTTAACAACAGGAGTGATTTTAATATCTCACTTTGTGGGAGGAATGAGAACAATGAAGCTGCAAATTAATATTCTGTAAATGGGTTTGGTGAAACATGTCTGAATGATAAAACCTGATCAGTTCCCCGTTTGGACTTTGTCCTTTTCATGCCAATGGCCATGCTCTTCTCCCATCTCCCTCATTAGCACAGAGAAGCAAACAACTCAGCCACTGCAGCAGAGCACCCTCATCCTACCCTTGTCCTGCAACACAGATGACGGCCCAAATGTTTCAGTTTCATACACAAGAAATGCATCTGCATCCACATCTCCTTTGGTGGTGCTGCTGAAATTAGGATTTTTTCCTAATGCTACATGTATATACACACGAGGAGGCCAAATCTACCAGGAAACTGCACCCACATAAGCTCAGGGAAGAGCAGAGGACACAGCGCCCTGAGTTTCACTCTATCCAAGCCTAGCCCGTGAGGAGCAGCACAGCCTTGCAGTGCCTCGGAGCAAACAGCAAGTATGCCGAGATGAGCTTTAATCCCAAGAATCCCATGTTGCCCAATCTGGCCTTTGGAAAAAATAAAAATAAAACCAACCAAAAAAAAAGTCCCACACACTCAATTTGTGCTTTTCAAGTTTCAAGAGACTCATACCCACTCGAGGCACCGAAGTTTCTGCCAGCTCTCCCTCTGTTTTAACTTGTCTTTATGGGCTTCATTTGCAGGAGGGGGGAAAACCCAACACGCTGGAAAGCTGGATATACTTGGTAAGATTTTATCCAATCAGCCCAGTCAAACTAATGAAGAAACATCATTAAAACCCCAAACTTTGAGTTAATACATTATTATACAAGTGCAATTCAGCTGCTATGCTAATAAAAAGCCTTTGGGGGAATGAAAAACAAGCCAAACTGCAAAGCACATAATTTATAATTCTACTGGTATTCTTAAAAACACACACACAACAAAACAAGAAAAAAAATGCTCAACACATTTTGTATTTGGCTTCCTAATCATTGTCACTTTTCAATTAGAAGAGACCTCATTCCATTTCTCTCTCTAATTTTCCCCAAGGGAAGTGTTATAAACGCACTAGGCTTTACAAGCTGGGCATATTCAGCCTCCAAATGCAAAGTAAGGTCACACTAATTTAATTTTGCATAATTTTTATTCCAGAATATGTTTCAAAGTAACAGGTTCAGACATCACATTTCAGTGACACAACCTGCTTTTCTGTATTTTCTGTCTAGACGCCGCAGCTCTGGCAGCCGGTCAGCATGCGTGCGACTGTTCTGCAACTAAGCGTTTTTCCCCCAGATTCTCACAATCCTGAAACTGGATATTCGTGATCGAGTAAAATCACTTGTCACATCCCATTCTTCAAGTTCATCGCTCGCTTGCCACATTAAACCACATGTGGCCTTGAATAAGGGTTTCACAGTGGATTACAGCGTTACATTAATGAATGATAGGAGACTCTGCTGCTGCCCAAAGCCTGCGGGCTCCACAATGTGCAGCCTGTGGCCGTTCCCCAGCTTTTTAGAGGAAGGCAGCACATGCCCTTGCTGCCCACACTGAGCTGCTGTCTGGCCACCAAGGTAAGGCTCTCAAGTGACTGAAATCTATGGAAGTGGCAGTGGGTTACGAAGTGGAGGCACCTCACTGGCACGGCTGCTGAGGTACCTGGCCCCACACCTCCCACCAAAGACCATGCTCAGGGCTCAGCAGAAGCAGCCGTGCCTCAGAGCTTCCTCGAGCAGCTATGAACAAAATACTTGGCATGCACAGGTTTAAAATTCAATAGTATTTTTGCAAGGAAGGAGAGCTATTTGAGTCAATGGTGACATGTGGAGCGCCGAGCCTCTGCACGCACGCATGGTTCACAACAGCCGCAGGGGAGGTGAGGCTGTGATACACTTTAAATGCATTTCCTTACTTTTACAGCTGCAGAACAGTTCATAAAACACTTACTATAAACTTTGTTAATGCTCTTCCTTCCACATAGAGTATCACTGCTGAAGGCAAATGCTCCAAAGCACTGGCAAGCATAAAGAGAAGCGGGGAAAAAATAAATTACACCTGCATTT